CCACCGCCCGTCGCCAACACTCCATTAATTCTAAACCGCCGGTATATATATATATATATTATATTTATTATATTTATGAATTATATTGACGAAATGTGTATTAATGTATATATGTATGAAATTATATATATATATATATCAATTAATGTATATATGTATGAAATTATGTATGTATGAAATGTGTATATATATATCAATTAATGTATATATGTATGAAATTAATGTGTGTATATATATATCAATTAATGTATACATGTATAATTTTTCCTTAGGAAAAAAACTCAATTGTGTTATATTCTGATACCATGTGGCCTATACCCTAAACCCTAGACCACCCTAAACCCTAAACCACCCTAAACCCTCCCCAGCCATCAAGCTGGCCGGCCGCCCCGCGCAGGCACCACCGCCCCGAAATGTGTATGAAATATCTATGAAACCCTAATTGCATAATTATTGTTTTATAATTGTTTAGGCTCTCTATGGCTGACCCGAGAGACGATGACCTAGAGGCGGAAATGATGGATATTATCAACGACGGCACTGAACATTGTGCCGATGTTGATAATGACCAGCAGGAAGACGACGGGAGTCAATACTTGAATCTCGATCATATTGTTGAGGAAGTTGTTCATGAAGATAATTCCGGCGAGGTATATATTTCTCAATATCTAGCTCTCATTTATTTATTATGCATACATGTAGCCCACTGGATCGACCTTCGTTTTATAATACTTTTTGTGTTTCTATGTCGTGTATATAGCCGTGCTGGATCGACGCAATTTACGACGGGGAACACAAAGAATGTTCGAGGGGCCAAAAAGCCGTTGGAAGGCCACTACATCATCTCAGAATTCAACGTGGCTATAGGCGAACCACTAAGACAATATGCACAGAAATTCGTGTACCACTGTGGGTACCTTGTAAGGGACAAGCTCCCGTTCAATGCCCGTGAATGGAAAAAATAGCAGTGCTCCTCATATTAGTTATGTCTCTGATAAGGACAAGGAGCTGATTTGGCAAGATGTTCTTGCACATTTCACGCTCCAAACAGATGATTATCATGAAGACATCACCCACGAAAGGTTGACGGAGCGAGTTAGGCACTGGACAATGAAGAAGATGGCCACCCAATTCCAATCTTGGAAGAAGCAGTTGTACAAATCATACGTCAAGAAGAACAAGACTCCAAAATTGGAACGATAAGGGCCCAATCGCGAAGGCAAGGCCCTACTGGGAGGAATTTGTACAGTACAAGACATCAGAAGAGGGTGCGGAACGGGCGAGAAGGAACCAAGAGAATTCCAGACAAAAGCAATACCACCATAACATGGGATCAGGTGGCTACGCGACTTTCGTTCCCAAGTGGCAAAAAATGGAAGTAGACCTTATTGCCAAGGGGGTCGTACCTGAATCAGCACCGTGGCCTGAACGCACAAAGCGTTGGTTTTTAGGTCATGGGGGAGGATTGGACCCAGTCACCAGGAAACTCGTCCATGGCACAAAACTCAAAAGAGCAACAGAAAGGTTGATTCAAATTCTAAAAGCTAGAGATAGTGGAGTATTCTGGCCCAACAGAGAGAAAGATGAACTAACATATTCCATCGGGACTGCTGAGCATTGTGGACAAACTAGAGGCAAAGGGGCCATTGCGTGGGTGCAAGGTTTCCCTGAATGGATCGATTCGTACAGAAGCCGCCAGAGATGGAAGGATGAGGAGGCAGAGAGGATCCGCATCTTGCAGCAATATGTTATTGAGTCACGGGAAGCGGTGCTTGAATCACAAAGGCGAGAAAAAGAAATGCAAGCGAAAATGCAAGAGGAAGTCGCAAGGCAAGTGCAAATACAATTGAGTGCCCACGGGATTACAACAGCTCTGGGAATCAACATTAGCTCCGATCAGTTGAGAAGCAGTTGTGCTTCTACGGAGCTGCCTGATGCCATAAAAGATGCAGAGCTGCGCTTCCCCGTGGATGACATCACTGAACCTTTTACATCATGTGAGCTGCACATTCCAAAAGATAATGGCACAGTGAAGGTGGCTATTGGTGTTGTAAACTCTATCGACCGTACCAAGACACCAAGAATCCATGGGGCAGTAGTACCAGCTGGATATGCTACCGTCTCGGTGGATAAAGCTATTGAAGGTTTTAGCGATGTGCCTCTTGACATTCATGGAGGTGATGGGGAGAAGACCATGGGAGAAGCAGAGACGTCATTCATTGCATGGCGCAAGCGCTACATCAATATTCCCGGGAAGCCGTTGCCGCACAATAGGTACAGATGAAAGTGAACGAAACAATTTTTTTTATTAATTTTATATTGCCTCTTAAATAATAATTGACTCATTGTCTTCTATATGCACACAGCAGGGCCTCCCCCAACCTAAGTCCAATAGTACAATCACCAGACCAGCATAGTGCTCCGGGCGGCGGTTACGATGGGGTAGAAGACACGGCTGCATCCCCACCATCTCCAAGACGGTCTCCGCCGCCGCCGCCACCGCCTCCAAGGTGTTCCCCAATGCCGCCTCGAAGGTCTCCAACGTCTGTTCCCCCACCTCCTCCCATGAACCAGGGAAGACGGCTGTAAACAAATAAGCCATCTGCCCCGCCGGCGAAGATGACCAAGAAGGCCCCCGTGAAACCAAGGCCAATTCCACAGAAATTGCCTGGTGAAATGAGTAAAGAGGAGTTAGATGATGCGGTTAAAAAAACCGTCGAAGCATTCTTCTCAGGCACAGGGAAGAGGAAGCAACAGGAGCAGAAGCACTTCCACCTACCTCCAGCTAAACTAAGGCGGATGGTGGAAGCTGAGCAGAAAAAGAGGCGGCAAGCTCATAAGCCCTCGCCACCATCAGACTTTGACCGCACTCTTAGCAAGATAATCAAGAAAGCTGCTAAAGCAGGGAAAACTGTTGCACAACTCGGAGAATAAGAATTGCAATCAGTCCCTCCTCTAGTTATTGCTAATGAATATGGTTCAAACATAGATATGCTGGATATGATGGAAATACCTGCTGATAAAGAAGTGGATATGGCGGAACTTGCTAACTTTTATGCTATGAGAGGTATCGACCTTGGTGATTTCCTCTTCGAAAGTGCGCCGGTAGCGGATGAATGGCAGAAATATGAGCATGGCAGGAGTCTATGGAATCATAAGACCATCAATGAACTGGGTACACAATTGTTCAAGCTAAACACATTGTACCTCGACGCGTGTCACCGGAAAGAGTTCTATATTTCTGTCAGAATCAAAGACGACCATTGGTTCCGTGGCGATGATGTTATGTACATTGAGTTAGCTGAATTACACCAACTAGTCCACCGGAACTCTCTCGACAAGACTCTCATCAGCTGCTATTGTCTGTAAGTGATTCTTTCTACTAATTAATAATAAGTTGCTACGTACGTACATGTCTATGTTTATTATCCTCACCCTATATATATGATGCAGGTTTGAGATGGGAGAGTGCAAAAAGAGAGAGTGTACTGATATTGGTTTCATTGATCCACATATCGTATTCAAAAACCCTAAACCCCAACCAACATGGAAAGCAAAAACGGAGGCCAATATCAAGATGTTCTTAGAGAAGCAACGTGACAAGAAATGTATACTCTTCCCCTACAACTTCAGGTAAGTGTTCATAATGTCGACAATCGTGTATCCATATATATATGTTCACTGTACCTGTTAGCTAATTAATGAGTGTTAATGGACATGGCAGTAAAAACTGGATATTGATGGAACTCGATCTGGAGAAAGGTCATCTAGGCATCTGGGACTCGATGAGAAAAGAGCAAAAAGAGTTCCAACAGATGATAGATATTATTCAGAGGTAATTGCAGTATCGCTAGCAAAACTATTCCAGTCTCTCTGCATGCAAATTAATGGTCCAAATATTTTTTATGTTATTTGGTAGTTGTTGAGAAAAGGTCTGTCAGGAACACCATATGAAACGCAAAGTGCCACTGAAAGTAGTGTTATACAAAGTAAGTACTATATACCTACCTTAGTTCAATTTCCCTATGCTCAGATGATGACGAATCTTTTTCTCGTAAAGTGGGTTCTGCTGCAGCCCCAGGGGAACAATCTCTGTGGATACTATGTTTGCGAGTTCATGAGAGTGTGCTAAAAAAGAACTAGTCTAGAGCAAAAAGGGTAAGTGTACATATATATATATATATATATATTCTTCATACATATATTTATATATATATATATATTCGTGATAGATATAATTTATTTATCATTATTCTTGATACATATATATATACTAATATACTTTTTCTTTATCTCATATCTCAAATTGAAGACTCGTTGGTTGAAGGAAAAAACCCTGGACACACACCATCTCAAAGCAATCTAAGAGACAATAGGTGGATTTCTAAATGATCAGGTTAACTCCCGACGGCGAGTTTTACTATGACCTAGATATGTGACGATGAAAGCCAAATTTCATATTGATCCAAAGAACATGTGATGATAAAATGTACAATCAATGCAAACTTTACATGTGACGATGAAATGTAATATTATGTTTTAGTTTACTTTTACTTGTGTTGCTTGCGTGCATTGATCGAGCGAAAACTTTACAGTACGCACGCGTGTATACGTATATTACTTTGCAGCGAATAATACGTATTCGAAAACCAAATTAAAACAAAAGGAATCATCAATTAAAATAAGCGGAAAATAAAAAAAAAGACCCTTTAGTCCCGGTTGGTAATACCAACCGGGAATAAAGGGGCCAGCCCAGGCGCTGGCGTGGCTACCTTTTTAGTCCCAGTTGGTATCACCAATCGGGACTAAAGGTCCACTTCTATTCTCGGCTACTAACCCTTTATTCTCAAACTCCTATTCCCGACCGCGTAACCGGGAATAAAGGGGTTGACAGTCGGGAATAGAAGCCTTTTTTTTTTATTAGTGGAGGTCGCATCTGACGATGCCTCGCCACAGGTCAACCCAGCCATGGACCCAAGCTCCCCTCCAATGGTGATCACCTTGCTGGAGTAGGTGTAGAGCAATTTCTCTTCTGCTGAAGCAAGGCACATCAACCTGGTGCTCCATGTCTCCGTCCTGGAGCTGTAGAGGTGCAGTTTGTACTGTCCCACGCGGTATGCCCAGCAGAGCACAGCAACGAAATACATGTCGCGAGCACGAGCACGGCAGCGCAGGAGGCCAGCGTCCTCGTCGACGAAGACTCGGCCGGGAGCCCTGGGGATCAAATCCAGCGACGGAGGCCGCTTGTTCTCGTCGTCGCCGGCGGCCTGGTAGACGAAGTGGTCGTTGTTGCACGCGACACCGTCGTCGCCCAGAGGACAGATCGGGACGCGAAGCAAGGCGAGGTCGTCCTCCGTGCTGAGGACCACGGGGATGCCGCCGAACGCGGAGCTCTCTAGATCAGGGCTGTGGACCGTGAAGCAGGAGCAGCGCGGCGGGTGGGCCGTCCAGAAGGTTACCTTGATGCGCTTGCCGCCGCTTGTGACGCCCTCGGCGGTGGTGGCGGTGGTGATGTCGTCGATGTAGCCGCGCGGGTCGAGGAGGATGGAAGCCGGAGGCGGATCTGCCAGATCGTCGGGGTGCATAGGCGGCGGACGGGCAAGATCAGTGGGGACAGCGATCGTACGTCTTCAGTGCAAACTGGAGGGGCCGCAGGGAATTAAATATCTCCGCCCGATCTATCTGAGCGGGGGCGGCAGCGGCGGCGGAAAAAACCCTAATCAACGTGAATATCCAAATTACTAATTAGCACTTAATTAAGGGAGCAAGAGAATGGACAGAGTCACAGGCTATGAATCTCATATAAGTCTAGTAATAACATGAAAGCCAAAACGACCTATCTTATTTAACATCTTTTATACACCATCCGTCCCAAACTATAGTTCATTTTGTTTTTTATAGATATATAACTTTTCATATATAATTAGATATACGTTATGTCTAGTAATAAAAACTATATAGCCACAAAAAATCAAAACGACCTATAACGAATGGAGTAATATATATGAATATAGGCATGCATGAACTAGATGGAATAGTTGCCTACAAATATCTACTGTGTTTTCTTGATTAATCGGTTGCTCAAAAATTCTCACACCGATTTGAGGAAAAAAGACAATGATTATTGCAACTCGTGTGATCAGTAATCCTAGTGCGGCAATAATAAGGAACATTTAGCATTTGCCACACATTATTGTGTTCAGGTTAGAGTGTCTTCCATCACAAGTGCCAGTGGCTTACTAATTACTTGGTACTTGGTACTTGGTACTTGGTACTGGAACTGAGCATGGCCAAGTTTATATAATCAAAAGTTCATAAACAAAAAAAATAAAAAAATAAAAGAGACTTACTCAGCATAAACAAGATGCTGGGGATGCCAGCTTACAACCAAAGAACACAAAAGCTGCAGAGGTAAACTGAGCCACAAAAATTAGATTTCTACTACGTCTGTCTGCGCACTATCCATGGGGCTTGAAAGGTTTAAGCTAGGTCCTCATAAACGATCTGTGAACTACTGCACCCTCCCCTCTTCATTGAGTAGAATACGCCACTTCTGCACAAATGAGATAGCAACATATGTATATCACATCAGAGGGATTGCTTGTGAAGGTCTTTTCAATAATGGTCATCCTGTTCCTAATCTTCCACCTCGCCCATGTCCCCCCTGCAAAGAGAAAAAAAAAACTTAAACTCCTTAGAGCCTGTTTGGATTCCTTCATCCAAACTTTAGACCTCTCAAAACTTTAGAGCGTTTTAGCTTAGTTTAAGCTCTAAAGCTCTAATTGAGGTGGGCTAAAAGTTTAGAGCTAACTTTAAATCACCTATTTGAAGACTTTTAACTCTAAAGTTTAGAGGTCTAAAGTTTAGAGGGTGAATCAAACAGGCCCTTAGATGCCTGATCTCCTATTGAACCAATTCTCCATGAAGTCAGCTATAGAAGTGGGAAAGACATACCATCCAAACTGGGACAAAGAAATAAGTAGAAAAGATACATAGTCTCAGAGCTACAGAGATAACAGTTTACAAAAGTTCACAAACCACGCATTCAAAGGTACATAGTCTCAGTGCTGTTGAAGTCGAAGCATCAAGCCTTCAAAACAGCCAGGAAGTTCATAAACACACACGCACTGGCATGGGATGGCAGGATCGATCGAACATACCGGCGAACACATGCGCCACAAAGAGTACATCCATCCTGCAAGATCCTTCAATTTATTCAGCCTGAAAACCACACAAGACGACGAGAGTACTGCCTGCAAGATCATCAAGCAGCAACGGGCAGCGCGTCACGGAGCGCAGCACGGAGGCGGTCGGCCTCGCCGCGGCGCAGGACGGCCGCGACGGTGCGGCCGCGCCCGCCGCCGTCGCGGTGCACGACGGCCGCGCCGCCGTCGCCGACGCCGTCCACGGCGTACTCCACGTGCGCCGGGCGCCGCCCCGCGAGCTCCAGCCCGGCGTACACCTCCAGCGCCTCGGCGTCCACGAGCGTCAGGTTGGCGCCGTACACGACCACGTCGGCGTCCTCCGCTCCCGCGAACGCCGCCGCAGCGACCGCGCTGGCCTCGTCGAGGTGCGCGCCGGCCAGCAGCGCTGCCAACTTGGAGACGTCGGCCGTCGCTGGCGACGACGACGAGCCGCCGGTCGATGCGACGACGACGTGGCCGATGCGGTGCTCGTTGGCCAGCACCGGGCGGCCGCCGCCGCCGCCCGGCGTGGGCGTCGCCGGTTCAGTCCTCACGACGGTCACCGTGCGCGTCGCCTCCTCCTCCTCGGGGCCTCGGATCGCGGCCAGCGCCCGCCAGATCACCGCCGAGACCAGCTCGAACGGGCCCATCACCACATGGCGCTGCTGATGCCCCTTGGCCGCGCTGAGCTGGAGGCTCTGCAGCTGCTGCTCGGTGACGTGGAAGGAGAAGGGCACCATGTCACGGGTGCCGGGGACCGCCCAGTCATCGCCGACGGGCGCGGCAGTGGCCTTGACCGACGGCGGCGGGGCCGCCACGCTGGCTGGTGGGGCCGCCGGCGGCGGCATGGCGAGTGGGTCTCGCAGGGTCGGTGCCGGGGCCTTCTTGCCGCTGAAGAGCTGCGCCCACGTGCTGAAGCAGGCGGCGGCGGAGGGGATGTCGCCGATGACGTGCGCCCACGTGAAGCCGAGGGCCATCCCGCCGCACTTGAAGCTCGTCACCTGTTCAATCACTTGCCGCTTTCAGTTTATATTTGTGCTGTAACATACCATACTGGTTTTGTCACTACAAAGATATATACTGGTTTTGCAGATTATATATATTTTGTGAGAAACCAACAGTCATGTCTAACTTAATTTGGAAGAGCAAGAAAAACAAAATACACCAGCTTGTAGTTCATAAGTTCATAAACCTTGTAGTTCTATCTTTATCCTAAATTATCTTGAGGATCAATTCATACAAATTTGGATAATTTAGTAGCATACAAATTGTATATTATGAAATATTTTTCATGATGAATCTAAAAATATAAATCTTAGTTAAATTATATAGACTTCTAGAAACTAATGATTAAAGATAGAAATGTTTGATTTTAGGCAAAACTATAAAATAACAATCTTTCTGAAGTATAGTGGTATTTCGTTGGTCATATAAAGTTTAGACAGGTGGTGCTTCTAATTTCTATCCCAATTAATAGTTGCATGAAAAAAATTGAATGTGGATAATAAAAAGTGATTTTTTGTCAACTATTAGCGCACTGATTAGTAGTTGAGCTAGCTAAGAGTATCTCCAACGGTCTTTGTTAAATTTATTCTCTAGATCCTCCAACGACCTTTCTTAAACTTACTCTTCAAATCCTAGTTTAGAGAGCCATTTGAATAAAAATTACTCTCTATATCTTTTCACCCACTAACAACTTCTCTATATTTTGTGCATACTTTGGATAGTCGACTCCGCTATCTTTTTTTGGCTAACGGGAAACAAGGAATAGAGTATGATAATATTTAGAAATTTAATTGAGTAAGCAGTTGAAGGCCCTTTTTTACCAAAATATCTATTTCTATTAATACATAAGGATATAAAGAGACTCTTGAAATGTTCTTAGGCCCCGTTTAGTTCCCCCAAAAAACCAAAAAATTTTGCGCAGTAAGTGTCATATCGAATCTTGCGGCACATGCATGGAGTACTAAATGTAGACGAAAAAAAAACTTATTGCACAGTTGGGTGAGAAATCACGAGACGAAACTTTCGAACATAATTAGTCCATAATTAGACACTAATTACCAAATACAAACGAAAGTGCTACAGTACCTAAAACCCAAAAAATTTCGGATCTAAACGCGCCCTTAGACTAACAAGTAGTTGATCGAGTTTTCAGCTAAAAATTAGCGTATCTATTAGTTGGTACTTTTTTGTTTTTGAGCTGCTAGTTAATCGGCGAAGTGTCAAACAAAGCACTACTTTACTTCTGACATTCAAATAGTAAGGACTCCTCATTAAAGTTGGTTGTTACTCGATGTCGGGGATGACAGATCTTCCACTTTATGGATATAATAATATATAGTATACTATACCGCATTGAAGATTTCCAAGACAAAGTACTCACTCGTATTAGAAAGAATGCAATTTCAACTTTGGATCAAGTCAAGGCATCTTAAGTTAGAGTGTTAGACCAAATTTACATAAAAAAGTATATTAATATCCATAATACGTACTTTAGATATCTACTATTAGGTTTGTTATGGAATATTATTAATATATATTTATAGTTATTTATGTTATAATATTTTTCATAACATAGTAAAAAGATGGTTTGATTTTGATTAAACCTAGAATTACGTTCTTTATTCTTTTTAGTTAGGGGGGCGCGGTAGTACCATCTTCACATGAGCTCACTATGATGAGTTATTTAGGCTGTATTTAGTTCGCGAAATGAAAATTTTTAGATGTTACATCGGATGTTTTGGGAATATCGGAAGAGGTTTTCGGATACTAATAAAAAAACTAATTACATAGCTCGTCTGGAAACTACGAGACGAATTTATTAAGCCTAATTAATCCATCATTAGCGTATGTTAGTTACTGTAGCACTTATGGCTAATTATAGACTAATTAGTCTTAAAACATTCGTCTCGCGATTTCCAATCAAACTGTGTAATTATTTTTTTTTGTCTATATTTAATACTTTATGTATGTATCGTAAAATTCGATGTGATAGTTTGGGGTGAAAATTTTTTGGAACTAATCCCGACCTTAGATCTGTTTAGTACGGCTTTGGTTTTTTGCCTTGTGATGGAGTCGAAGCCAATAAAGGCTCTGTATGACGGAGTCGAAGCAGCTAATAAAGCCAAAAATAATAATTTTATCGGCTCTTAATTCTAGTACTTGAAAGGACAAGGGACACAACAGTATGCTACTCTACACTCTAGTCTGTCGCCGCTTCACTTCACTAGCTCCATGTGCATGAGCGCCCGTTTCTGAAAAATTTTATTAAGGCCCCGTTTCGAAAATTTTTGGTTTTTGGCTACTATAACATTTTCGTTTTTATTTGGCAAAAATTGTTTAATTATGGACTATTTAGGCTTAAAAGATTTGTCTCACGATTTCTCGGTTAACTATGTAATTAGTTTTTTTTTCGTCTATATTTAGTACTTCATGCATATGCCGTAAAATTTGATGTGACGAGTAATCTTGAAAATTTTTGGTTTTTGACTTGGAACTAAACGGGGCCTAAATGGGACGCCCTCTGCAGCAGCAATGCACCTACAGGGAGAAGTGAAGAACATGTACTAGTGCTAGCGCATCTATACGCATCAACCACCGTTGTTTGGATGCATATGATCCGCTCAACTGCGGCATCCTCCGTGCTTCGACTTTGGGTTCAAAACTTTGAGACCACGTTTGGATCAATGGATTCTTAAATCAATTCTGAAAGAATAAATTCTAAAATAAAAGTAATCATATGATAGTGTTTGAAACGAAGGAAATTTAAGTTCCTTTCCAAAGGAAAGGAAATCAGAGTAGTGAAAAATGTAGGAAATAAAACCTCCACTCAGCTCCAACTCGATCAAGGGATAGAAATTCTGCTCGTCTTGCTATGCTGGTTATGTTCCTGGACTTATTCTCCTCCATCCCAAACAGCTCAAAGTATCTATTTCTGAATTCTATAATTTCTCACTATTCACTCCATCTTATTCTTGCGTTTTTTCTATGTTCCTGTTTTGTACTCCTTTGTTACAAACAACTATGAGTGTAACGTGAGCACATCTTTTACATTCCTCTCTCTATAACCCCCATGGCCCCATGTACCTCCAAAACTCTTGTATAAAGTTCAGACCGGCATTATTCGTTCGCCTGCCGTAGCCGCGTTTAAGAAAACATTATGATCCGAGTATTTATTAAAGTGAGTTGCAAGAAATTAGAGTGAGAGTAGATGTGTGTGTGGCCAGTAATTATTTGGCACGATGCAGACCTGCACGTAGAGCAGCGGCGAGAAGAAGAGCTCCGGCCCGATCACCTTGTCGTAGGCCAGCGCCTTGCAGAGGCCGCCGCGCTCCGCCTCCGCCTGCAGCCACTGCTCCACGGTGGCGTCGCAGGCCACCTCCACGATGCGCACGCCGCAGTCGTTGCACCGCACGTACGGCCGCCCCAGCCCCACCGCCTTGCCGCCCTCGGCGCCGGCGTCGGCCGCTTGATGACGCCGCCGGAGCCGGCCGCTGACGGGGAAGTACAAGTCAAGCCACGGGAACATGGGCTCCTTCAGCGCCTCGATGGCGAACGCCGGCGCGCGGAACACGTGCACCGCGCGGAGGTAGTGCAGCTTGTGGAGCAAGTCGGCGTCCGCCAGCTCGTAGTTCACCTCCTCCCCGGTCACCGAGCTCGGCACCACGGTCGAGAGCCGGTGCCCGTGCACGGCCATGCCCATGCTGCTGCCGCCGGCCACGCCGCCGACGGCCAGCGGCGGGCTCCCGGAGACGGCCTCCACAACCATGGCGCGCGCGACGCGGCGGTCTCGGTCGGCCCTGGCGAGATCCAGGAACGTATGTTTGTGCAGCTGGCTGTGTGTGCCGTGTATGTTGGAAACTTGAGCTGGAACTTAAAGGCAGTTTACTTTCATTATCATTATCATATATAGTACCATGAAATGAAAGCATTGGTGTACTCAACTACTGCTCGAGTATTGAATGCAATTCATGGAGTCGATCCGGCAATTTTCGATATTTTCCTTCCATCCTATACAAGTACAGAAATGGGCTTTTGGCAGGGCCCCAGTTTCTCTAAACATGACTCTGGCTTCGCCTTCTATGTAAAAGCAGCTTTTTCTGCTGAAACTCGAAGCCTGTGAGAAATGTTTAAAGCACAGTTTCTCCTGTTTCTCAAGCTCAGTCTTGGAAAAAAATTCATTAGAGTTTGACTAACATTAATAAATTATCAACTTAACAAATACGCTGATATGTCACAATATAAATGAAAAGAGAGATTATCATAGGTCTATGGTGGAACTAATTTACACTGTTTCTACCATTCGGGAGTATTGAAAACTATGACATTTTCTTTGGAACGAAAACTATGACATGAAACCTCGGAGACTAGCCTAAATAATGAGTGGAAGAGGTTAAATGTCTAAAGTGTCCTTGTCTGGAAATTGGTCCAGTGGCATTTAATGTAATTGTTACTAATTTGATGACTAGTTTCCTATATGCTATCAGCATGTTCGTTTCGGCTGAATTAGCTTATAAGCCATGAGCTGAAAGTACTGCTGGATGGTTTGGCGTGAGAGAAAAACATTGTTGGCTGGCTGATAAACCAAGCCAGATACAGACGCTGTTGGCTGGTTCGTGGGAACCACTGAAGAGCTAACATGAACCACGTTTGGTGTCTTGGATTTATAGGCGGTATAAAACTGCTTTGGCTTCTCCTGTTTTGGCTTAAACAACAGGATATTTGGCACGGCTTAATTAGAAGCAAGTGGAAACCAAACCCACCCACCCAACCCAACCAAGGAAGCCGTGCCAAGGATCCCCTAAATTGAGGCTTTGTTTAGATTGTTTCAAAATTCCAAGTTTTTTTACTCTCTCTCATTACATCAATTTTTAAACGCATGCATGGAGCATTAAATGTAGGTAAAAAAAATAACTAATTACACAGTTTGGTTGTAAATCACGAGACGAATCTTTTGAGTCTAGTTAGTCCATGATCAGACAAAGTTTGTCAAATACAAACGAAACGTGCTATAGTGTCCAGATTGTAAAAATTTGCAATCTAAACGAGGCCTGAGCAGCGAAGATCGAAGAAAAATGCCGGTCAGAAAAAAAAATTATATCTCTAATATTGTGCAGTGTACCTGTTCACAAGGTTTCCCACGTCGCATGTCGGTCAGACAAAATGGCATATTGGCCCTGTTCACTGGTCTGAAACTTAGCTGAAACTGGCTGAAAGACACTGTTCCGGCTGAATTGTTGTGAGAGAAAAACACTGTTCCGGCTGAAAAAAAAAGCCGAACAAACCATTTTTAAGACAAGCGAACGAGACCAATATGCCATAGTTAGTGTATCTTGGTTACATCTAACTAAATAAAACAAAAAATAATTTGGAAACTGAGAACTCATATGATGTGTTAGGGCCTGTTTAGATCACTTCCAGTTTGGAAAATGGACACTGTAGCATTTTCGTTTGTATTTGGCAAAAATTGTCCAAATATGGACTATTTAGGCTTAAAAGATTCGTCTCGTCAATTACGGACAAACTGTGCAATTAGTTATTTTTTTATCTACATTTAATGCTCCATGCATGTGCCGCAAGATTCGATGTGACGGAGAATCTTAAAAATTTTGGATTTTGGGTGGGATCTAAACAGGGCCTTACATGAATTTGGCATACTACATGTTTCCAAAAAGCAGCGGACCCAGGCAATTTAATGGCTATAAATAATGGACTAGACATACTCCTTCGGTCCCACGATAGAAATCGTTATGGGATGCGTGTAGGTTAAACTTTCTCAACTTTAATTAGGATTGGAAAAAATACGTGCAATATTTATATCTCTAAATAAGTTTATTATGAAAGTATATTCAACGATCTATCTAATGATACTAATTATATATTATAAATATTAGGAAAAATAGTGTTCTTGCCCTTTACACAGATGTGTAATTATGATTTTGCCATCGTTTTTCTAACTTTGTGATTTTACCCTTAATTGTTCACAAGTCAACGCGATTTTGCCCCTGGTCAACGCGAATTTGCCCCTGTTTTTACCATTGACCAGAGGCAAAATCACGTTGACTTGTGAACAGTTAAGGGTAAAATCAAAAAGTTAAAAAAATAAGGGTAAAATCACAATTACACATCAAAATAGGGGCAAGAACACAAAAGCCCCTATTCTAAGCAAGTAAAATTTTGCCCGCAAGCAAATATGAAAGATGGAGGTATAGCAGCATAAATATCAGTAAACCTAGCCCCTAGAGAGTTCACTATCGGAATCCTCAAATTTGCCGAGTGTATTTATGTTTGTTGAGTGTATTCCCTCGGACACTCGGCGAACAGGTTCTTTGCCGAGTGTCAAAAAAAACACTCGACAAAGATGGGGTTTGCCGAGTGTCAAAAGAAAAACACTTGGCAAAGATAAAGTTTGCCAAGTATAAAAAAACACCCTCGGCAAAGAAATAAAATATTTTTTCTGGAAAAAGAAGAAGAAAAAAAATAAAAAAAACTTTTTTGAGTGCTCAGATCTAGAATGCTCGGCAAAGAAATAAAAAAAAATTCTAGAAAAGAATGAGAAAAAAGAAAAAAAATACTTTGCCGAGTGCCCAGATCTGGGACACTCGGTAAACAAAAAAATATCTTCTTTAACCCATCCAATACCCCCCTTCCCTCTCCTCCGCCCCACTTGCCAGCCCCTCCCTTCTTTCTTGGGTCGACGCCTTTTTTGACCCCCCCCCCTCCGTTTTCCTCCCCGACCCCCAGCGCCCCCTCCCTTCCCCGCCGGTGCCCCTCCCCCTCCTCTCCCTCTCTTCACCGACGCTTCCCCGGATTCGGCGCGGCCGCCCCCTCCTCTTCCCTGGATCCGGCGTGGCCGCCCAGATCCAGCGTCCTTCCCCTCCTCTCCCTCTCTTCACCGGCGCTTCCTCGGATCCGCGCGCGGCCGCCCCCTCCTCTCCCTCTCTTCCCTGGATCCGACGCGGCCGATGGTGGCGTGGTGGTGGTGGCGTGGTGGTGGTGGGCAGCGGTGGCGGCCGGTGGTGGCAGCTCGGGCATGGCGGGTGGTGGCATGGGGCTGGTGGGCGGCGGTGGCGTGGTGGTGGTGGCTCGTGGCGGCGGCCGTGAAGCAGGGGAGCGGAGGCGAGACAGAGGGCGTGAAGCTGGGCCACGGCACAGGGGAAGGGCACCGCCGAGGAGACCGACGGCGGCCGGCGGAGACCGGCCGGTGGTGGCTTTTTTATTTTTTTGCCGGTGGTGGCTTTTTTATTTTTGAAAAATGTTTGCCGAGTGTATTTTGGGCACTCGACAAAGTTTGCCGAGTGTCCGATAAAAAACACTCGGCAAACTAGCGTTTGCCGTTAAAAGGTTTGCCGAGTGTAACACTCGGCAAACACTTTGCCGAGTGTTTTTGGGGCTTCGCCGAGTGCCCCTAGCACTCGGCAAATATCCTGTATCCGGTAGTGGTTGCCCCACTAGTCCCATGCATGTCATATTGGCATGTTATTACTGTCCTGCAGATGTCAGTGATGAAGCTTTATTAGTTCAAGTAGTATAGGCATGGTGTTTCCAACTTCCATTGTCTGTAATCTAATCTTTAGACCAGCAAGTCACTGCCAAAACACTATTCAGTAGTGAACTACTCTTAGTAAGGCACTCAGCGTGGGAGTTGGAGCGTTGGTAGTTCTAGAAATGCAAGTTTTATCGGCCTTGTTCGGCTGGTCTATAAGCCGCTTATACTGATTTGTACGGCTGATTTGTTGGGAGAGAAAAATATTGTACCATGATTGATAAGCCAGCTTATATGAGCATCCGAACAGGCGGATCAATTGTACTCGAGGACATGAGGTTCAACTTTTCCGAGAGGAGTGATGGGCAAATAGTTCAAGCACAAGATGACGAAGTTAATGCATTGATCGGACGCAGTATGCAAGAGGTGCTAGTATGTAAGAGGAGGAAGATTGCCCCTGTTCGTTTCGTTGAAATTTGGCTGATGTTTATGCTGATGCTGATATGTTGTGAAAGGAAAATATTGTTCCTTCACTGAAAAGTATTTCTAAAGTAGTGCTGAAAAACAGGGCGATTCGCAAACTCAATGTTTTTGGTAAATACTATAGACGAAAATCTTTGATGATGGTCATTGCTTGTTTAGGATTGTTCCACAAACTCAATGTTTTTGGTAAAAACTATAGAAAATCTTTATTGATGGTCACTACTCAATAAATGTTAATATTTTTCAATGGATATTACTCAATATTATCTTTGCTAGAAGATGCTATTTAATTATAGTAGTTGCTCTCTTCATATTCTTTTTTAAGCGTGAATGAGTTTAACCCAAATATCAAGACACCATCATGGTGGATTAATTATCCATTGGATGCAACGCTCTCTCGGTCGTTGGTACTACTGATGTGGCGCTTTATTCCCTTAGGACACCCGCAACGGGCCGTTAAGAGCTTTCGGTAAGCATCCACATAGGAGAGAGAGGGGAGGAGGGAGAATGTGTTGCCGCTACGCCTGGCGCCCATCTTCACGAATTACAAGATGAATGGGTCCCAGGCCGAACCTCTACACGCGCGTGGAGTCAGGTTGCCGTCATGGATGGGGCTAGGACGGGTGAAGGCGGGCACGACCTGCCGCCGGCCACGGGCGAGTTGCAAACTCGGTCGCTACCGTTGCCGTCGGGTGCGGGTGGGGCGAAGGCAGAGGTAGGTGGGGGTGGAGATCCAGGCGCGGGTGACGCGCAAGTGATGCCGCCGCTGCCACCGGGCGCGGCCGCTAGCGTAGCCGTCG